ACACAAACAAATGACTGTATAGTATTATATTTAGGTTTCTTCAATTTTCCTATGATTTGTAATTAACAGCTACATGCGAGTGATCTGAGTAAATCGTGAGCCAATAGAATGTTTACAGACATAGATCTTTAAATTTATTTTACATATACATGTGATAACCATTGTAACGAGTCGAACAGCATACAACCAAGTTGCAAATCTATCAAATGATGTCTATAGTAATGAAGGATATTCTTTATAGCCAAATTAAAATTTTATGATACTTGTTTTTCATCGATAGAATGATGTATGAAGATATAAATCAATAGAACATTGAGTACTTTTCAAATTGATTTATATTATTATAATAATCTGAAGCTTATCGTTTTTAACGATCAGCTTACATCATTAATTTAAATTAGTGTCCTGCAACCGGGTCGAGTACTCAGCATCCAACCCGACCCGGAGCATGAGTCCGGATACAAACTCGTCGGGTCGGGTACCAAGTATGAGAAAAATTTTCTGATCGGGTGCACATTTGAGATCATATCTGGTACCCGATCCGGCAGTTAATCAGATCAAAACATTTTAGAATATTTTTACCATTTCAAACCACTATTTGTTTAAAAGTATAGCATTGGAAAGCGACTCGATCATGACTGAACAATTAATGACACTTGAGAATGGGTCACAGAAGCGGAAAGCAATATTGTTTTAATAAGAGAGTTTGGGTGTGAATGTGTGTGTAGATGACCCACATCCACCCCTACCAATAGCTATTACCTTTGGTAAGATACTATATCCCTTTATGAAAACTAGAAAATGTTAACAATATCTATCCAATAAATATATTGACAATAATTAAATATTCAACGTTAACATGAATCAAATTTTGAAGCTACACAAAAACATGAAGGCAATCTTTGTTCAGAATCTTCTCTTTTATATTGACATAAACAGAAGATCAAATGTCATTTGCTTGTTCCCAAAATTTCTGATCAAGGTCTAGCAGATAGTATCATAGGAGCAACCGTACCTTGACGTCGTTGATGACAAAAGAATGGTTGTGGCCATAATTCTGGTAAACATCCAAAACAAACAATTGGTAAAAATAAAACGACAAAAGTAGTTAAATAGAAAAAATATGGTTCAACAGTACTACCAAAATTACTCATATTTGGTTGACTTTGTACAAAAATAATCAATGCTTGAGGAAGATTTATAGATAATGAAAGAGTTGAAATTGAAAGTAATTGTATGATCATTTTTCGATATTTTTTCCAATGAAAATATCTTGTTGAAATACATTTTTTCCAAATTGTTCGAAAAAGTAATGAAATAGTAAAAAATGCTTCCAAAATATTGCATAAAACTCCATTAAAAAAATAATCCCATGTATTAATCCATGTTATATCTTGATAACATGGATATGAACCACATGCAAAACCATTCGAATAAAAAATATTTTCACACGGTGGAAATAAAATTACACCAACATAAAATCCAATTAGATAAATTGAAATAATTATTAAAGGACAATAATGTGTATAGAATATTTTACGTCTTGGACGAAGAAATTGTCGTCGATAGAATACGAGAATGTGTCTTTCGAATGAAGCCCATACAAGAAATACCGGTATTGCACCGTAAAATCCATAATCAATAAACCACCATAAAAGGCATACACGTGTTGAAAATGGAAATGAATTTCCATTACCCATGCGGAATCCATCAAGATAAAATGAATTATCAATAACTATAATAATCAAACACAGAAAAAGTAGTATCATTACAACATGATTTTGTAATTGGCGACGTAAACGTTGGTTAAATGTTAAATGATAAAGAAGATATATAGTACAAAATAGTGATGGAATTTCAAATACAAGATATGTCCAAAATTGAACTTTAGCTGATGGAATAAATTCTTCTTCATAATCATAATCATATGAATAAGTACTATTTTCAGTTTCATTGTCAACCATGATCAATATAACGACACGTTTTTTTGTTACAACAAAAATTTGTATGAAGAACAATATTTTCTTTTTTTGATCAAATTAATTCATTGATGAGTGCAGTACCAACGTGAAAGAATGATCTAGAATCAAAAGAAAAAGAGTAAGAAACTATTCACGTGAATTCTAATAGGATGAATATTCTTTTCTTGTAATGTAGTCATATTGTTAAATATATTTGAAATATTTTGATGCCTAAAATGAATAAAAAAAGAGATTTTTTTAATCTTTTATCTAATGCTCTATATGAAAAAGATCATATTTTTAAAAATATGTTATTAAGCTTCTTAAAAAAACGAACGCAAGAATTTTCTAATTCAACATGTAATTGATTTTGTTTGTAATCAATAAAAGATTTTCATAATAGGATATTGATTTGAGCTGTTGAGTTCTAGACAATAACTCATCTAGAAATATTGCGTATGTAGTTCGAAGTAAAATTTTTTATCAACAAAAAAAAGAGATCACAGAGAAATAGTTTTGATATCAAAACTAAAGATGTGCAGGACTAAATTTTGTTAATTCTCGATATCGGTCTGATCCGAGTCATAATTCTATTAAATTTGATCTAGTTTCATCTTCAAGGAGACTATTTCACAATTTACTTGCCTTAAATCTATAAGAGTGTGGGTGTTCTATTTACTCACATTCATACTTACACCCTACATCCACGCCCTTTTTCATAATGATAAAAGAACTTTTTCCAACAGTAACTTATTATCTGTAAATTATGAATATTCATAGGGAAAGAAAAAGATGAAAAAGAACGAATAAAAACCCATTGGTGGAATGAAAAACTGCGTTCGTAAGACGCTTTAGCGTTCTTTTCGGACGCGTTTTTTCCCTTGAGAGAACACTTTTTTCCGCAAAAGAAACGCGTTCCAAAAGAATGCTAAAAGCATTTCCAGGACGCGTTGCATTTTTCCAAGAAGGCATTCATGGCCGTTCTTACGCTATTTTCAACTTTCGAGTTTGCCAATAGAAAGAATATCAAAAGTTGTGTCCGTAATGAATAGTTCAAACTGATTTGATATCATCATGAAGAGATATACATAGATGACTTTTCTCATATTTCGTTGTTTCAAGCATCTTCTATGACAAAAAAAGATCGTCCCTGAACGCGTTCTTGAAAAAATGTAACGCATCCTGGAAATGCTTTTAGCATTCTTTTGAAACGTGTTTTTTGTTGCCTAAAAACGATTTTTTTCTGAATGCCTTCCTGACAGGGAGAAATGCGGCTTTTTCTTGCAGAAAAAATGCGTTGTCTCAAGAGAAAAAGATGTTCGAAAGTGTCTTACGAATGTGTTTTTATCCGTTCTTTTTTTCCCATAGATAACGATAATTGTTTAATGGAAAGGAAATGAGACATTAAAGAAGATTCATGTCGACTCGATTTATCTCTTTCTTAATTATCCTTTCTATTGTTTTGAATATAGTACTCGTTTCTGCTTGAAGTTCATTAACATTCGTTGCTAACAAGGGAATCCTTCCAAGTATAAAACCGCTTTTTGCTCGAGACTATTTCCATTAGATAGGCCTTAGTGAGTAAACCCCTCCCCATAATAGCAGACTCTCCCATATTAGAAACCTTCTCAAGAAGGATCAATGTGAAAGATACATTAGAAGCACCCCTCATTTTAAAAACTTTTCGAAAATTTGTATCATAAAACTTTCAAAATTCAGGATCTTATGGTAAGAATTTGTTTCATTTTCTTATTTACCAGCATAAAAATCTTAAAATCTCCTAGAAAGTCGTTTGAACAACTCTTAAAAACCCTAAAATCCTTTGAAATTTTTTCCATCTAATAATAATAATAATAATGATTTAATCGAAGTATATAACATTATTGTTTAAATTTGATATAAAGAAACAGAAATTTCTTTTTGTCAAGTTTTTCTTACTATTTTCTTTCATATCAACGTTTCGAAGTATAAATCTTCATTACCGAGATGCAAAATGAGATTGTTACAAAAATAGAGAATTTTATATAGAACAAAATAAGAACAAAGAGAAGAAAGAAAAACATTAATCTCTTTTCATATTTTATAAAGGTATTTATAAGTCATTTCTATTCATTATAAATATTTCTATTTCTTCTCTTTATTCTTATTATGTTCTAGGTATAATTTTCTATTTTTGTAACAATCTCATTTTACATCTTGGTAATGAAGATTTATACTTCGAAACGTCGATATAAAATAAAATAATAAGAAAATCTTGAAAAAAGAAATTTTTATTTCTTTCTATCCAATTTAAAAAATAATTTTATAGGCTGCTGTAAAATCATTATTATTATTTTCGAAGTTATTTTCCATCTAAACCTATTGAAAAATTTTAGGACTTAATAGAAGCCCTCTCCGAAAATTTTGGATGGTGGACCATTTAGAAGCTCCCGGGAGTTTCTAAACTGAGAGAGGATTTAGTGAAAAAGTCCATAAGGATTTCGGTGTATGGCCTTCTCGTGTCGAGTTATGAGTGTTTTACTCAATTTTTGGTCTATGGGCATGACATTTTCAAAAAAACTCAATGATCGAATTTCAAGTTGAAATTTTGTTCATAGATAGATATTATGATCACCAGGAAGTCCTCAAAGTTTAAGCCAAAACGAACTCATCCTTACCGAGATATTCATATTTTAAAGAAACACCTGTTTGTGGCTGTGTTTCAAAAATAGGGACATTTTCATGACAAGCTGATATCTCGGCAAGGATGAGGTCGTTGTGACTCAAACCGTGAGGACTTTCTAATGACCATAATACCTATCTATGAACAAAATTTCAGCTCGAAATTCGACCATTGGGTTTTTCCAAAAATGCTATGCCCATAGACCAAAACTTGGGTAAAGTACTCATAATTCAACAAGAGAAGGCCATGCGCCGAAACTCTTATGGACTTTTTCACTACTTACTAAGGCCTATCTAATGGCAATAGTCTCGAGCGAAAAGTGATTTTACACCTGAAGAGGTTCCCTCGTTAGTCAGCGTTATACCACGACACATCCGACACAACTTTCTTATTTTAGGCTGGACCCTGTCAATTTACAACAGCATTTAAAATGCCTAAAAATGACTATAAAAAATGTTTTAACTTTATTTTATTGTATTCTATGTAATTGTTTTGTTTTGTAACATTTTACTTTGGCAGAAAATATATAAATATATGTTCAACTCGCCACTATATAAATAACAGTCTTCTCTGAGAGAGATCGACATGAAGTTTTGTTACCGAAAACTAATGGATGGCACATAAGAATAGCTAGTTTTTGTAATTGCTCTCTGACATATTCTTTTCAAAATCAAATACATCAGAGAAAATACCAAAGCGAGTTGGATATTTCGTTATTAAAGATATTATTTCATATACATGTCTTTGTTTTAAGACTAAATAAAACTTGAAAAAAATATTTTCGACCCTACGAAAGAGAATAGATTTTGGTATACAAGTGATACTTTATCAGATAGAGAATTGTCAAGTTTAACCTTATTCAATTGAATATTTCTATCAATCTTTTCTTACTTATAACTACTTTTAACACTGGCATCAAGACTATGTAAGGACTGCCACCAAACATTAGAACAGTATACCTAGTTCTCTTCACAGTATATTGATGATTACTTTTGTGTGTATATGGCGTGACACTTTTTTATTGGTAGATAAACTCATAATCTAACAATTATTGACCCGTAGATCATGCTGCAATATTTATTTCTTGCTGGAAAGAATGTTACATCTTTGGAACTTGTATGTCTAGAGGGACGAATAAGATGCGACAGATGAGTATTGAAAAATAAGATATTCGAAGCAACCTTTCTATAATGTTATACTGACGTGATGAATAAAAAGTTTCTGTCGATAAAAGTATGCAATTAAATGGAGTGAAAATATGTAGTTCATTAAGTAGCAATATAATAATGTAACACTGAGTACCAAAAGATGCTCTATTTTATCATATCGGAAAATATTTTAATTAAATTTTGCTTAGCCGCAAGACAAAAATATATATACAAATAAGATTTTTAATGATAAAATGTAAAGCTCGGTTCGCTGTGTTCTGTCATATATTTCATTTTAAATAAGACATTTCAGTAAGGCAAATGCAAATATCGGTCATGCATTATATACCATCGATTACGTACACATTGTTGAGCATATTAATTTTCTTATGATTCTGTACTGAGATGATCAATAAATAATACAACATCTAATACCTTTTTTTTGTAAGATTATGGAGGAAAAATATATTACTTTGTTCTTACACAGCCATACATATAGGAAAAAATAAGCTTAGAAAAAAAAATGTAGCATCATTGTGTTATGTTGATTAAACTGTTCTCTCATCAAAATAAGAAGCCCATTTTAAGATTATTTTTTCCGTTGGATATTTCAAACTGTCTATGGAAGGTTTCTTTTAATTTAGCACATTCGCAGAAAAATAAAGAACAAGCATATCACTCGCAAATTTTTGTCCTTCCTTCGTCATCATGTTATCTCATCTATTTTTGTGATAACTTTTAAACGTTTCATTTTTTCAGATATTTTTGGAAATATAGAAGTACATCATCCAAGAAAAGAATGAATTCTTTAAATAACCTAAGCGCTGTGAAAAGTTAATAATATTATAATGAAAACGTCATTGTCCTACACTCAGACAAGCCGATATATATTCGATACTTGACCCAATATATCAAGTAATATTATATTCGTCGTTAGAATTTTTTACTTGGACAGTAAAATGAATATTTTTACATAGTAATTTATAAAAATATATAATAAATTTTATTTTTGAAACTATATATGTTACAATCTATAATTTATTGTTACTAAGATATCTGTCCATAGCGAGTAGAAAAGAAGATATATTCAAAAATCTCCTTCTATACACTCAACATTCATTTTACATCGTGTTTCATAAAAATAATAATATTCAGTCTTATCTTTCTTACAAATTGACAAAAATAATCAATTT